TCCTCTTTCCCTCCCTCCCTCCTCCCCCCTGCTCTTCCTCCTCCAAGCACCTGCAATCTTCGCAGCCGCGGAGTGCTGGAGGGACTGATTGCGCTGTGTATCGGGGCTTCCCTCAGCACCTTCCCAGCTCCCCCCCTTCTCGTCACCTGTAGCTCGTCTTCCCCTTCTGCCCGCTGAACCGAATCCTGCTCCGCACCATCTGTACACCAGCCGACGGTCAGCGCCGTGCGCGGGTCCCCATGCGTTACCTTCTTGAGGGTTGATAGGAAGAATCGCAGCTGCAGCAGCAGGGAGCTGTAAACGTATCCTGCCACCATGATGAGCCCTCGAGAGCAGCAGCAGGAGCCTTTGAGACCGCAGACAGACGCGCCAGACCCGATGCTGCCAGCACACAAGTCAGAGGAGGCGGAGGCGGGAGGGAGGGGCCAGGATGAGGCGGTTGATGGGAGCGAAGGAACCCTTAGCAAGCTGGAAAATTGTGGTGGAGAGACGAAACGTGGGAGAGCCAGGAGCGGATGGAAGGATGGAGGAGGAGAAGTAGCAAGGGATGCAGACGGGGGAAGCAGGGAGTAGCACATGAACAGAGCTGGCATGGGCTTGAGGTAAGCAAAGAGTCTCTGTCCTGCTGCTTCAGCCTCCGGGTCATCACGGAAGTACAAGAGGAACCTGAAGAGCAGAAAACGGGGGAGCGTCTTGGTTTGGCCTCTGCGGCAAGATCAGGAGCTCCTTTCCAGCACAACATCCGCCACACCTTCCCAAACACACTAGAAGGGCAGCCGGACAGGAATCTCCCTAGGGCCCCCCGGTCCTCGTCCTGTGTGGAGGCCATGAGAGAATGGCACAGGGTCTCTCCCTCTCCAGCTCACATGCGTCTGAACGACCGGAGCAGCGTACACAACGCACGCCAGGCACTGGATCATCACAATGAACAAATCAGCGCTCTGCAAGCGAGGTCAGCCGTTGACTCTGGCGTCCGCCCAGGAGGGCCCACGGACCACGAGGTCGAGTTGTTGAAGGAACGCTCCTCCTCGTTGCTGTATCTCCGCCACCGCCTGCATGCTGCAGCCCATGAGCGCCTGCCGACCCGTCAGCTACCATGGCAGGGAGGAGCCCTGGGGGCACCTCAGTGGACATCTTGAGGAAGAGGTCCTCGTCTGCTAGCATCCTCTGAGCGACATGGGTGAGCACACCGAGCAGAGAGCATCTCCTCTCCTCCTCTCACCCGCCAGATGATCTCGAACCTCAAAATCCAGCGAAAGTTGTGCGGAAGCTTTGCAAGCGCGGCTGCGTATCTTCCAACGACCTCTCCCGCCACTTCACCTCGTTTCACCGCGGCCGCGAGAGATTGCGGGATGCTCTCTTGCACTATGCCGCCACGCAGACGTAGCAAAGTCGCACCATGACCGAACGGCTTCTCCCGCTCTCTCGCAAGGAGCATTTGAAACTTTGTCGGGCATGCCCGTCCGGAAAGAGCATCTGTAGATTTCAACCCCCCCTTCATCTCGGAGAGCAGTACGAGAAGAACAATGATCAACTTGCTTGTGCTCCAGAACATAGTTAACTATCTTGCTTCAGCAAGCTTTCGGGTTCATTGTCCCTAGCCTTCCTACTTTGTCTTCCCTCCACCGCGATACAACCCACCAGATCCTACCTAGAACAATCCACGGCCACCTTCACACAAGCTGGGACCACTCAAGGGCACTTGTCATCTCCTACAGCCTGCATTAACCATACGAAGATGTTACTGCCTCCTCTGCCGTTGCTGCTCCTACCCAACGCTCCCTGCCCGTCTCGCTCCTACCGAACCCTCCCGCCATTGCGCGCGGCCCCGATAGATTGCTGGCATAAAACTCAATTTTAAAAAAATGGGCCATGGAGGGGACGAGGGTACTTCCTCGAAAAAAGGGTTCTATCGGGCTACTACCCCCACCCCCACCCCCACCCCCACCCCCACCCCCACACCCACACCCCCTCACCCCCCACCCTCCTTGAACCTTCCAAAGTACCCCGTACCCATACTATGTCCTTGATGAATCGCTCGTCTCTCCAGGTAGGGGTTATCAACCCCCCGCCGCTAACCCCCACCCCACTCCCCCCACCCCAACCCTCCACCCGAAAACAATGGGGTAGCAGGGGTAGCTCACTAAGAAGTCTTCTCCAAACGGGCAGCGCCCGGTAACCCTGCCAGCAATTTTTCAATCCTGCAACCCCGGGGGGTATAGAGTGAGTATTTCCTATGTGTCGTTCTAATTAATACCTGCTATCATGTCCTGTCTCTTATCCCCAGCAGTCGCCATGAAGCAGGGGACGACAGTCTTGGCGGAGATACCGGGAGACTACGAGCCATCGGAGGAGGGTAGAGCATGGCATGCAGCTCCTTGCTCCTGCTGACGTCTACGTCGACAGAAGTAACAGATTATGCCAAGTGGCTGGGTATCGACACCGCCCAGGAGCAGAGCCTCATGTGGATAGCCAGGGAAGGTATCAAGGCGCCTCTCCCCCAAGGATGGAAAGCCTGCAAGTCGTCGTCGGGTGACATCTACTACTTCAACTTCGAGACCAGCGAAAGCATGTAGCATTCTCCCTCTACATGCCGATACTTGTGCTGAAGTGAGGCCGGTTCTCAGGTGGGAACACCCACTCGACAACAAGTACAGACAGCTGTGCAGGAGGGAGCGCGAGAAGGCGAGGACAGCAAGCTAGATGAGGCCCGACCCAAGCAATCTGATATATGTTGTGTTGTGTGCAGATGGCAGAGGAGAAGGTCCAGTGCAGCGTGACGGAAATGAGGGAAACAGAGCAGAGGAAGGTACAGGGCATGATGTTGAGTGCCGCGATGTTGAACTTGTGCTTGAATGCAGATCCGTGAGCTTGAGATAGCGAGTAGCGAGAGAATCCGCAAGAAGAAGCAAGAGCTGGAGGAGTTGGAGAGGAGAGAGGTTCCCGCCCTGCCTCCTCTCTTTCCAGCACCTCACACAAAGCCAGATGGTCAAGGTCGAGCAGGAGGCGCAGGTTCAGCTGCAGAAGAAGAAGAGGATACAATCGGGCAAGAGCAGAGAAACCAAAGAAGTGGCCCAGACAGCAGATGGCTCAGGGGTTAGCGAGGCATCGAATGGTATCGCGGAGCAGGATCGGGCAGCAGAGCAGCACAGGGTATACGAGAGTCACCTCAGCACCATGGAAAGGTCTGTCGAGCTTGCAGAAGAGACTCTTTCTCGAGTCTGGGCTGTGATGGATCAGAGAAGGAGCAACAGGCAGACTGTTGCCACCCAGGCTGGGAGCCCGATGCCAGAGGAGGAGATCCACATCAAGGTTCAGACAGCGGCGCAGATGGGGTTGAGGGTTAGTGCACAGAGTCTGGAAGCTACTCGCTCCCGCAGCAGCCTTGCACTTTGTGCAGCCTTGGGTTGTATTGTGGGGTATTGGATTGCGTCAAGGAGGGCAAGAGGATGATAGAATGTACAAGGTAAGGAAATGTTGTGTGGTAGTAGAGCAGTGCGCTTGATGTAAGAAACTCGGTTTATTGGCGCCGTGTCTGCACAAACGAAGCAATTCAGGCGCTGTCAATGTTGAACATAGTACAATGAGGTTCTCGAGCTTCGGACAAGGCTCAAGCAATCGCTCCATCCTTCTCCAGCGCCTTGAGCATCAGCACTCGCTCCACAGACTCCTGCAGATATCTGTCTGGGGTGGAGGCCCCACTGGTCACACCGACGGTGACCTTGCCCTTGGGCAAGAAGTCCTTGGTCACAGTGATTGTGCCGTCGGTCTCCCTGTGCTCGATGCTTCCGTCCTCGCGGATGCGGTGGGCCATGTCGATGTGGTAGCCGACCTTGCCGTTCATGTGAACAATCTCGAGGAGATGTCCAGTGTTGGAGCTGTCCCACCCACCCACGATGAGGTAGAAGTCAACGCTATCGTCCCTGATCAGATCGTTGATCGCGTCCTGCCTCTCTTGAGTGGCATCGCAGATAGTGTCTAGCGCCATGAAATGCACATTGACGTTCTCGGGACCAAACTTCTTCAACATGGTGCGTTCGAAGAGCTTGGCGATGGCAGCCGTCTCCTCCTTGTACATGGTTGTCTGGTTGGCAATCCCGACCTTCTTCAGATCGCGATCAGGATCAAACCCAGAGGAGCAAGCGTTCTTGAACTTTGCCATGAACTCCTCCTTATTGCCTCCGTTGAGAATGTAGTTGGTCACGTACTTGGCCTCCTCCATATCCTTGATGATTATGTAGGTATCCGCCATGGATGCCGTTGCGATGCTCTCCTCGTGGGCCCACTTCCCGTGGATCACAGACGTCATGTCCTTCCTCCTGTGAGTGTCCACTGCATTCCACACCTTGCTCACCCATGGACACGTGGTGTCCACGATCCTACATCCCTTGGAGTCGAGAAGCTAGCAACGGCAAGTAAGAAACAGGTCCAGGGTCAGCAGAGGCGTTCATACCTGCATCTCTTCCAGCGAGGCCCCGAAGGCAGGAAGGACAACAACGTCGCCCTCCTTGACATCCGAGAAGTCCTTCACACCGCCGTTGACAGGCACGAAGTTATATCCCATGTCCTTCAGTCGGCCGTTGACTCCTGGGTTGTGGATGATCTCGTTGGTGATGTGGATCTTGTCGTCCTTGTAGAAGGACCTCGCCTCGTACGCCATGGCGACTGCTCGTTCCACTCCCCAGCAAAAGCCGTAGGACTCTGCGAGCTTGATCACTACATTGTTCCTCTCAATCACGTTATTGTTCTCCTTGAGCTCCTTCACCATGTCCGAGGTGAACTCCTCCACCATCATGCCCTGGACCTCCTCCTTGGTCTCACCGAACCCTCTTCGATTGAAGTTCTCTGACGCTACAATCCTCCTACGTTCCGCACGCTTGTCCAACTTTGCGCCCTCGGACATGCGCAGGAAGCAGGCAGAGCGGGACCTCAGAGGCGGGACAGGAGAGCGACCCTTGAGAGAGCCCATGCCAGAACCGACAGAGGATGATGGCCCTCGAGCTTGCAGGGGGTGAGGGGAAGGGATGGGGAGGAGCTGGAAGGCGCCAGCGGTGGCAGCGAGGCATGAAAGAGCAGCGCTCGCACCATGTCGGCCTCCCTGGGTCTTTGGTGGTAGGTGGGGTGGTACACTGTTTGTGGAGGGATAAGGGTTGTGATGAACGGGTGGTACAAGAATACACATCAATCGACTAAACATAGGTAATGTAACTATAAGTTATTTTTTCCAGGTAGAAATTTGAGATTTTGCGGGGGTATCCTTCAAAATTTACAGGAAGATGCCACCCCTTCACAAAAAGAGCGTGTTTCTGTGACGGGGAACATGGTAGGGTACCAAGGCTATGGGTGGGGATGGGTAGGGGTGCTAGGGGTGGAGATAATGGGGTAGTATTGAGAGGTAAGGGATCAAGGGGTAGGGTAGCTTTCAGCAGGGGGGTTGTTGAAACTCGGGGTCATGGGTAGGGGTGGGTAGGGGTAGAGAGTTCTTTTCTGGGGATGAGGGCCAAACGAGGAGGGCTTGAGAGGAGATGAGGGATGGCCCGCTGCCTTCCAGTCTTTTGGTCGGGTTTGAAGGAGAATGTAGGGGTGGTGTGACTATCGAGCGGGTGGGTGCTTAACAGGTAGGGGTTCACAGGGTAGTAGATTGTACCAGATTTTTGTTGTTACAAAGGGTGGGTGGAACTTTTCAACGTTATGGGTAGGGTGGAGAAACACAGCCGTTTTTAGATTCAGCAGTGGTTGAGAGGGGGGTAGGGGTGAGGCAGGACCATGGATCTACCCCTCTTCAAGGCTGCAACTCCGGGGTAGGGGTTGAATGGTTGACGGGTGGGGAGCTCGAGGAGAAAAATGTTTCCAGCGGCTAGAAGCGGCTGGCAGAGAGCAAAAATGGCGGGGGAGAGGGAGGAGGAGCAGGGAGACTGCAGGAGTGAGAGTGAGAGACAAGTGCCTTCAAGACACAGCGGTGTACGAATTAACTATGATGCGATGAAAGATGGGTTGGTGGAAAGATAATCATTGTGAATGGTGAATCGATGGCAGGCGGAAGACGGTGGTTGGGTGCACGAACGTCCGGGAGGGTGGTTGGAGTGAGGGAGATAGGAAGGAAAACGTTGAGGGATTGGTACAGCAGTTGAGGGTTTGGATATTGATGATAAGAGAAGAGCACGGGTAAAGAGACGTGCACGAGTTGATGTATTGATTCGGCAAGGCATAACAATATTTTGGAGGCTGAACTTGTTTTCCTTTCAGGTACGCAAGAAAGCTTTTCACCATGGTGAGGGTATATGGAACTTCTCAAGAAATGGAGATTGAAGGAAACTACAAGGGGGCTCGCTATACTGGCCTCGTCAAGGCTGTTTTGGTCAGCACAATGGCCCTAGCTGCAGTTGTTGCAACCATCTTCATGTTCGGAGCAGAGACGCCTGTCTCGACCAATAGCGTCAAAGTAGTGCCAATGAACGGCTGGCATCTTTCTGGGCGAGTCGCAAGGAGGGAGATGCAGAATTATTTCAACAAGAGGGATTTCAAGGACGAGGCGAAAAATTTGGAATCCTTCGTTTCTGAACATCCGTTTTTCTCGAATGTCCGCCGTGTACCCATGCCGAGCCACGCTCGACATTTTCGTGTTTTCGGAGCTCCTCATTCGCAGTATCGAAATGGTCTTGGATCCAAGAGAGTCCATCACAGAACCACTCCTCAGGATCATGCGGAAGAGACTCGTAAGGTCTAACATCTTGCTCTCCGTTGTATCTTGTCCTCTACCGATGTGCGCTGTCGCGTTCATGCCGGCATACGAGTACAAGTGATGTATCAGTAAGAGAAAGAAGCATTCGATTGTGGAATCTGATGCTTGTTGTACAATAAAGGTCGAATGCTTTGTTTGCTTAGTTTACATTCAGCAGCCAATTATCGGGTATTGACAGCAATCAATTCATCCTCGTCCTAATTTCAAAGCACGGCAGAACATCCATGTCTGCGTGAGCAATGTGGTTGGCCTTGTCTAGACACAAGTTCGGCCTTATTGTTTGTATTCGCCAGGTCTCGGAATGTTAGTACCTGTTTCAACAATCAGTGGGTAGTCCTATTCAGGCCTTGCTTCTTACGGAACACGGACACTGGCACATCTTCGTCATCGCCCTTCATATCTACGAACTTTCGAACTTCCGTTGTACTACATGTAGGAAGGTTAGCTTCATATAAGTTGGATTTGCCAACACGCGATGCAAAAGCGTGCAGAACAAGTCACGAATCAACGAAGCTGTGGTGATCACCTGGACAATATTTTGTTGTCAAGCACCGCTTGCAGGTATGTGGTCAACATTCTCTGCCTCTCTTCGATAACCTGCGACACCAGTGATTGCGTTGAAACCCACGTGTTGTCTGTCCCACTTTGCTGCTCTGTGAACCCACTATCACCTTCTTGGGCAACGGTGGAAAGGGTCGAGTTGGCTTTCCAAACATCTTCCCTTTGAGTCAGAAGCTCCATATCTCAGTAACAGCAATCATCATGTACTTGTAACAATTTTTGATGAAGATCCACAAAGTCGCTGTATCTTCGTGTTACCTTCAAATCAAATCAATTACAAAAAGGTTTACAAGGCATGATATCCCCACCTTCCATGTCTGCCCCGTGGAAGTAAGAATCTCAAAAACATATGCTGTATGCCCGGTTCCTGGATTTAGACTCAGACCTTGAAAACTATATGGTTTCCGAATACATACCAGGGAGAGAAACACCAAAGCACATTCTTCCTGGATTCTTCTGAGCGGTTCGCGGCTGTTTCCCGAGCAAGTCAAGGAACAGAGTTGTATTGAACGTTCGAAACCTGAGCTGTTATCCCTACATCCTCAGGTACCGGCGAATGAGAATGATGCTCTCTAAACTCATCCATGGATCTGAGAAGTTAGAGTCACTTGCCGATCGCAGAGGAAGCTTTAGGTTGTGCTCGCACCTGCCCTGGACATGATGGAAACCATTACCATGCATCATGGTTCCACTTGACTGGACCGAAAGCCTCAGGTTATGATCATGATCAAACACCTTGGAGACTCTATAATCAGATGCTTGTGAGAGGGTTTCACTGCCTTACCGTGGAATGTGACTCAGATACAAGCTCTCGTTCCGAGATTTGCCTTCTGCCCACTGCTTGCATCTGGTCTGACCACACCAAACTAAACGGGAAGGTAAGTCAAACACTGAGTGCCTTTGCATTCGTTGACGCTGAACATTTCGATCATAGCCTGGGATTGCACCGGAATCGCCATCACAAAGCTACATAATCATGATGCTACAGAAACCCTATCTCTTTGCTTCTAATCTAACGGCTCGGTTTCAAGAATGGTTCTACAAAGTTCCCCGTGCGATCTTCGGCTCAAAAGTGAAGACGAAACAATGGAGACAAAGCTATATGGACAGGTGCTGCATTTCAAATTTCTTAGATGTTGCTGGGTACTAAAAGACCTTCCTGCAATAATTGTAGACAACGTGATTCTCTCCTGTCAAATTAAACTGAGTCCAAAATAACAATGGACGTATGTTGCAGGATCGCCACGTGTTATATATTGTATCTCATTTGACTCCCCGATTTGTTTTAGTACGTCTGTACCCACGATCTCTTCCCTAGCATGCCATGGCGGGCATCTTTGATCTAACCTGTATCATACGCTGACTCAAAAGGTCATTGCGCTTTCTCTCTACCATTGTGACTCCCCCTTCCTTCAAAATTCGCTTTCCTGCCATCGAAGATCCAAACTCGACGTCACCAACCACCCCCACCCCCTCGCACAGACCACCCTACTTGAAATCTGCTCATCCTTTATTACATACGCTTGGGCTCTCCTACTACCCCATCTAAAACAACCCCACCCCTACCTACCACACAACCACTTCCACCACCTCCCTGTTCCACCCTTGCAACCACCCCTGGTAGCTATTCCCTTTTGCCGACCCCTTTTTTCCACCCCTCGTTTGATCTGGTTCACCCAGACATTTCCAGGGGTGGGTAGTAAATATTTCCTTGAGTCAGGGAAGGCCCGTACCCCTGTTTTTGCGGTTGTAAACACCCGTGCATGAAAAATGTTGCCGGAAATAGATTTGGGGTACGGAAACGATCTGATAAGTAAAAAGTGTAAAGGGGTTGAGGAGAGGGCAGCAACCATCCAATAGGGTAACTATTAGTTACCTGCCAAAGTATAGCTTTTGACTCCGCAAACTCTCCTGCTCCGTAAGAACACAGCTGAGCTCGGCAAGATGAGATGAACAGCATGTCACCGCAAGATTTTGATCCCCTCAATGATAGGAAGAACGATGAAGATAAAAGAGAAGGATTATCAAGTGTATCTGACGCTCAGTGGCTTTGAAAGTGCATCATATAGCATCTCTGAGTGTTGAAGTATCTAACCTAGTTCAGAGCGATCAGGATTTCAGGTTTTATACTGAGCTCGCAATCTTGCATTGAGCACAATTGTCAGTGTTATCAGATCCTGCAGAGAAATCAGTGCCCTTCACTTCCTTGAAAGGGTGTGGTCTCAGTATCCTGGTAAGATGAAAATGGCATGATCTGTTCGGACTGACCAATTAGATCCTAGATCAGTACTGAAGAGATAGTGGCTTGGGAGGTGACGAAGATGTCGCGGCATCGGTCTCTAAGACGAGGTTTTAACAACAAATTGCTTGAGAAGTTCCAGTATGAGACCCATCGTAAAATTCATAACAGATACGTCCGTCCTCAACCCAGATATGTTCTGGCCGAACCCCCTTGATTTCATCAAACACAGGATCCACAAATGGCCTCAAATCAAAATCATCAGAGACCAGAGAAAAGAACCTGCTTAAACATCCACTCAATATCTCGGTGAAAGTACTGCCTGTTGCCATTCATCAACAAACCCATCGCCACAATCTTGGTATCTTCGCCAACCGACCCTTCAGTACATTGCACAGCCGAGTTACCTGAAACAGCTTTTCAAAGGTTTGGCCAGCGCGTCTCTGTGATTTGAAAGCCGGTGTACTCCTTCTCGGCCCATGATTTGAAAGTTCTCATCATGACGAGACTCAAGGCATTCCAAATATCCTTACATCCTGAGCAGGCCCGTTTGCCGCGGTTCAATGGTTTTCACAGTCAAGTCCTTGGAAATGGTTTCAAGATCACCGTGTGCCACGGTCCTTTTCAAAGGCCACGCACATGTCCACTTGATATTCCTTTGCTGTTTTGGGGGAAGTTGATATGTAGCTGGAACTGAGCCGCTTCAAACTGCGGTCGCTTTCGGGCAACCGGGTTCCGACCCGGTCACAGACTTTCAACGGTGCAGTCGCGGCGCGGGTAGTCGACGCGTTGTCACCGTCGGCGTACGGTAGTATTAGTCCTAAGTTTCGGAATTGCCGGGCGGCCCGGCGGCAGTGCGGTGACACGGCGCGGTGCGGCCCGGCAGCCGGCGGCCGATCCGATGAGTCGGATCGCCGAGTCCGAGTCGGACGGCAACGCCCGCGGCCGCCCGGCCGGCACGGCGGCGGCCGGCCGCGGGGCGTGGCGCCAGCCAGTGGCCCTGCAGTGGGCCGGGCCTGCCACCGGCGATCCGACGGACCGACCGTGCCGGCGCCGGCCGCCCGGTGATCATCATGGAGGCCCGGCGGACTCGGCAGTCGGGACTCAAGCTTGCCTGCTGATGAGCCTGAGTCCAGTCTCAGTTCAGTCCGACGGTCACGGCCCACTACGGCCTGGCCCAGTATTACTGTAAGCCTGCCGCCGGGGCCGGGGGCGGCCGCCGAGTCCCGGCGGCTGGCACGGTCACGGCCGGCTGCCCCAGTGAGCCTGTCCACCGTGGACTCCGGCACGGCAACTTTCTCCCGTCGCCGAGTCGATAAGCCTCCGGGGCGGGGCGCCCTCGAGGCTCTCACGGGCCGCCGCGCTGAACCGGCCCGGGGGGGCCTCCCCGCCGGGGCCGCCCGGCGGCGGCCCCGGGGCCCGGGGGCCCAGCCGTACTACCGTACTCCGAGGCAGCTCACCCAGGGTGGGCAGCTCTAGTGTTGACGGGCTACATGGGCCCTACCCCATACTCATCCCTGTAAAGTACCCCGTTTTTTGGGGGTACTGTTAACTTGGGGGCTGACAAAAAGGATTTGAGGGTGGGTATGACGGGGGCTGTAAGGGGTACTTGATTGACAAAGATCCTTTTCGTGGTCTCACTTATGTCAAAAGAGATTTTTTCATCTTCTACATATTTTTAAAAACAAATTTCATAATGAAGCATTGCGGTTCCACACACTATAACGGTATTTGAAGTATTTTGTTGAATTGGTGGTTTACCCTGAACTGCAGAGATAATTGTTAAATTATTTTCCAAATTTTCTTTCAAATTTGAAATTATAGGGAAAATAATATCTCACAAATTATTCATGTGTTTCTCAAAGCCCGTTCGACGGAACATCATTCCATACATTCCATATCGTTGTAGGAGAGTATGTTGGTGGTCCTATCCGAGGTCTCAGTACTTTCTGAAAGCAAAGCCCTAGGCAGGTCATAGGCAACGGCGTAGGGTGCTCTGAAACATGGTCAAGCAGCTTGTGCAGCAAGGACATGTTGGTGGGAGGGACGAGTAGAGAGCGAGAAGCTCGACCTCAGATGTCAAAGTGCAGGAAGTTGGTAGTTCTCAGCATTGTGTTGGCAGTAGATGCTGATATGCCTTGCCATTGAGAGAAATAGAGCGATATATTAACCGGAACATCACAGTCCATCAATCATTTGTGGGAATCAAGATGGAATTATACTGGGCGAACATCTGAAAGCCTTGGGTTTGATTGTATGGATGATTTTGATGATCCATATCAACGTTTTATTGCTTGCCCTGGCGTTTGCTCCGTCAAATGCTGATCTGTTCGGTTTGACCATCCTCAACTCTTGCTTTCTCCTCGTCGTTCTAGCCTGCTTTTGCTCTGCATGCCTCTGCTGTTCACATTTGAGCTTCTCTGACATGTGCTGATCAGTTGGAGGGAGATTGAGCCATCTGTGCGTGAGATGCTGTGAGCTGCTCTTGTAGAAGACTAGATGATCGGGGAGGTGACGGCCGAAGGATGTCTCGATGGAAGTGGCGGCTTTCATTGTGACCAGGACAAGAGCTCATCAGAAAGGGAGCGCCCGCTCTCTCCGTCAGTTCTGGCTCCTGGCCCTGGCCCTGAGCCTCACACCCCTCCGAAACCTGTAGACCCTTGCCAGGCTGTATCCAGCAGCAGGGGCACCCTGTGGGACCAGGTGAGTTTCTTCCAGAAGGTCCCTTCCATGGAGGATCTGCTTGATCACATCGAGGACATCCCGACGAGTCCTGCGCACTCGCACCATGGCGGCCGCGCAGTAGCGGACCTGTGCGAGGACTACGTGGTCTGGGACGGGCCACCGGGCCCGGTGCCCTTCGTCACCTACAACAGCCGAGAGGGACTGCAAGTCTCGCCGGAGGTAGCGGACAGGCTGACGAGCCAGGAGGCTCCACTGCACGTGTTGACGTTCTTCGGGGAGCCCAAGACAGGCAAGAGCTCCTTCATCAGGCACGCGATCTTGAGGGGGAAAGGGCTGAAGGTGGAGGACTCTGGCCTGTCCGAGGTCTTCCACAGCAGGAATGACGTTGTGATCTGGTTGTGGAATGGGATAATACGATGCAAAAGGGACGATGGCAGCGAGTATGACACGATTGTCTTGGAGAGCAAGAATGTCGAAGGAGTCGATGAATCCGTCGTCTTCGCCCTCTGTGTTCTGCTCAGCAGGTGAGTTTTAGAGCCTTGAGAGGTCAATTGCTGCTTGTTGATTGTTTCTGTAGCCATGTTGTGTACAATGGCATGGACATGCTCGAGCCAAACAACATTCAGAACCTCAAAGTGATCAAGAACCTCTTGAAGACCATCAAGGCTACCCGGGACCAGGAAGAGGAGGACGGCTTGACTTTCCGCGAGCACTTCCCTCACCTGTCTTGGCTGCTGCGCGACATAGACGAGCCCTTACTCGATGAGAGGCGTAACCAGATATCCTCCCGCACATACCTAGAGCGATGCCTCCGCCTGAGAGGGTTCAGCGAGGAGGCGGAGGCAAAGAACCTTATCCGGAAGATGATAGCCTCCTTCTTCCCTTCCCAGGACTGCTACACGCTCCCCAGCCCAGCAGAGATCTCGGGCCTGTCACCCCACGAACGCTATCTGAAGAAGGTCCTTTCGATCCGCAGGAATCTGATCAAAGTGTCGCCTCCTAAACAGGTTTTGTTCGTCGTGGAGGTCCCCTTGCTGTCCTAACCCTTGGCTTAGATCATGAAAACCCATTTAGACGGCCTGATGTTCTACCAGCTTGCTCAGGTGTGCCTCAAATCCTCCCCTCCTTTTGCCTGTTTCCTGTTTTTGTCTCCTAACTCCTTTCCTTTCCCTCCCTTCCCTGCCTTATTCGTCTTTCTCCCTCTCTCGCGGACCCTTTCCCCCCCCCCCCCCCCCTCTTCTTCTCTGATCTTTCTCTGGTGCGCAGGCAATCATGGACGACGTCAATGCTGGCCAGCCTCAGAACATCCCGCGTGCCTGGGACTCAGTCTGCTCAACCTACTGCAAAGTCGCCTTACAGAAAGCCCTGGGGCAGTATGCTCTGAGTATGACGAGGATGTACTCACAGCTGCCCACATCGGACACGGACCTGCACCACTGGCACACGGAGCAGAGGAGCAGAGTCCACCACCTGTTCTCGGAGATGGTTGTTGGGGACCAGCAGCAAGTGGAGGAGTATCGAGAGCGCCTCGACAAGGTGAGAAGCTGTAACGCTGGTCGTGGAAGCTCAAGAAGTATGGCAGGAGCTGGCGAAGCTGCATGAGAGGATGGTGATGGACAACGAGAGGGCATCGAGGATCGTCGCCAGGGAGCTGCTGGAGAGTCTCTATGCGGACTGCGACAAGAAGGTGATGTGAGGGAGTGATCGGTAATAATGTGACGCTGGTTGATGGACCAGGTGCGATCGGGAGAGGTGAAGTCTCTAGAGGCCTACGAGACTGAGCGAGAGAAAGTCCGCAAGGAGTTCGAGCGACTGACTACCGGTGCGTGAAGACTATCTATTCTGGGTTTGGTCGTTTGATTGCGCGTCCAGGGCTCTCCCAGTACACCTGCCGTCTAGTCATGCTTGAGTTTCTGGAACAGCGACTGTTGAGGTTCACGCAGATGTTGATCAGGAACGTGAGTCTGAGCAAGGCGGACGAGAGCAAAGGTAACGCTCCTCCTGGTCTTTGCGGCGACTTCTGACCCCGCATGCAGCAGATCTGAACGCTCTCAGTGCACTGCACGGTGACTCGGGAAGTTCCTCTTTCCTCAGTGAGGACGGTCAGTGGGTGAAGAAGGAGGTGCTGGACATGGTGAAGGCGCGGGCGAAGCACGACTTGATGAAGCTGGAGAACGAGCTCCTCTCTGTCATCTTTACCATGGAGGATGCGGCGCATCGCTCCCAGAGCGGCGGGACAGATTACAACCTGGACATCCTTGCTGACCTCGAGACCTCGTCGCTGCTTGCTGACGAGGCCTCTGGGGAAGGAGACTCGCTGCTGGCGGAAATGGGGATCCATCTTCCTGTGGAGGTCAAAAGGCATCAGGAGCGAGTGACCTTGCAAGCTATGCAACCCCAACCAGAGCAGTCCTCTGTTGCCAGTGAGAAGCATGCCGTCAATGGGAGGGGCGAGGAAGAGGCATGCGGCGACGGGACGTCGAACCGTTCCATACACAGCAGCTCAGGGGCGATGAGATGGAGAGCGCGGAAGGGAATGCGAAACAAGTGAGGAGTGAAAGGCAGGAGGAGAAGAGTGATTCCTCCATGGAGGAGAGGGAAGGGGATGAGGAGCGCCCTCGAATCGTTCTGTCCAAACCAGACAGAACGTCCCCGTCTTCGGACACCTCGGAGTCAAAGATGCTTTCCTTTGGCGACTACGTGGCGTCAGAGGAAGCCTGCCGCAACATCGAGGCTGAGATCATCCGCAGATGCCAGTTCGATGCTCTCCCCGAGGTATTTGTTCTTGTTCCCCTCCCTTCTCATCTCCCTCCTCACCATCACTGTCATCGCTGTCGTCTTTTGGCCTGCGTCTTTCCTGACCCTCTCGCGTACAGGGGAGGACTCAACGTCTGGGTGTGCCGCCGGTTTCGGATGCCGCGAGTCAGCGCGAGCAGGTGGTAGCGAAGAGGAGCCTCTGCAATGAGTCCAGCCCCTCCCTCAAGGCCCATCACCCCCCGGAAACGCCGAGCATACAGCAGGTGGCTGAAGAAGGAAGGGTCAGTGAATCCCGTGCGCCGAGCGTCGCTCATGCGGCGGCAAGGGAGGACGACAAGGGCGGATCAGGAAAGGAAGGAGGGAGTGGCTCACACCTGCGGTATGGATGGAGTCCGGAAGAGAGGGGGAAGAAGAGCCCACGGAGCCCTTCAAGGGCCCCGCTCTACCTGGACGGGGAGGAGCTGATCGTGCCTGATCCTGCGCTGAGCCTCCTCTTCTGCCAGTGTTTGCGAACTGTTTCTGTCCGCCCGCCGGACCTGGACGACGGGAGTGAGGACGTGAGCTGGGACCAGTTCGTGCAGGTGTGTATAGATTGCGGGGCTGTAAAGAAGTGAAGGTTGTAAATGTGAAGGAGGAGGCGGAGGAGTGGGAGCAGGAGCGGGGAGTAGTACAGAAGTAGTGATGCAGTATTATCTACATTAGAATACATAATAACGTCTAACTTGCAATGCTGGCGTGGCCAGTCTGCTCTCTGCCTTGCATCTTACATGTCAATCAAGCTCTTGGTGTTGGGCTCCTCCAGATTGTCCTTCTCCTCCTCCTCTGCAGCCTGCAGCCTGCGGGTTGACATGAGCGCTGGACATGAGGGTGAGGGAAGGAGTTGAGGCACCTGCGGACAACGCTAGCGAAAGTCGGTCGAAGGTGAGGGTCGAAGAGGAGGCAGTCTGTGCAGATCTGCGATAGCAGGGAAGGAGCCGGGGGGATGCAAAGGAGATTCCCTTCCCGGGCAACCTTGACCGCTACCTGTTGCCACGAATGAGAAGCGAGGGGGCGAGGGAGAGGGGGGGTAGAGAGGACGTAGGGGCAATGGACGGATGAGGTGAGAGTAGCGAATCGGAGGAGAGGAGAGGAGAGGAGGTGGGAGGGGGGGAAGAAACGATCATCGACCTGGGACCCAAGGAGCTCTCCTCCCTCCTCCCTTACGCTGGAACTTGACGACTGATCCCTATTCCTCCTCCATCAGACCCTGGAGCCGCAGCCCCTCCCTCAGCTCACCTGGTCGTGGCCCAGGTGCCTGCCGAGTAAGGGACCTTGCGGGTCAAGAGCTCCCATAGGACCACACCGTAGGACCAGATGTCAGCCGCCGTGTCGTAGTTCTGACCGTTGAGAACCTGGAGGGGATAAGAAGTGAGATGAATGGAGGGAGGAGGAGGTCGTTGAGGAGGTACAGAGGGATATGGTTGTTCTGTGGTAGTGGTGGTACAGGGAGGAGCAGAGCAACTGTAGCAACAACGGGAGAAGAAGAGGGGATGTAGAAGAAGGGGCGGAGCTGAAGGCAAGGTAAGCAGAAAAGCAAGATCGGCGGATGGGGAGGAACGAGGAAGGAGAGGAGCAGCAGCTGTTGACCTCCGGCGCCGTCCACTTGGGGGAGCCGCAGAAGGTCATAGTGTACTCGACCTACGAGTGAGATCAGGGGAAAGGAGGAAGAGCAAGAGAAGGAGCGGGGATGGGAAAGAAAGGGAGGGGAAAGAAGAGACAGTTCAAATACCCGGAAGCGAGAGAGTCCGAAGTCTGCTATCTTGATGCTGAACTACATGCTCGGGTGTCAGGAGATTCCTCCTCGCCCTCCTCTTCCTCTTAGTAGCTTCTTCCTCCCACCCTTGCTATCTCCCTCTCAACCTCCCTCCCTCCCTCCCTTTCGTTTGAATGCTCGAGCTCCACATCTTTGCCATCCCTGTCTCTGCCTGCCTGCCTGCCTGCCTGCCTGCCTGCCTGCCTGCCTGTCTCCTTACATCAGATTGGACCAGCAAGTTTGGACTCTTGAGGTCGCGATGCAGGACAGGAGGGCGGAGAGAGTGAAGGTAGAGCATCCCCTTAGCTGCCTGGAGTGCCATGCTGTGATGGAGCAAGTCAGAACAAGACTGCACGAGGAAGATGAGAAGAAACAGAAGGAAGGAGGGAGGTGGGAGATCGGTAGAGTGAAGGGCAGTGAGGGAGAGGAGGAGGCGAAGGAGGAGGGGGGGAGGAGAAAAGGCAGGAGCAGGAGCAGGACATACTTGCGCTTCAAGCCGTCAGGGAGCTCAACGGCTGGATCCTGCCATGTTGATCAGGGTTGCCACTGCAGCATCAAACGATAACCTGAAGGACGTCCGTCAAGCTGCCCCGCGCGAGAAACTCCATGACGATGAGCATCTCCCTCCCTCCCTAGGAGCCGATCGTGACATGGCATCGAAATAGGAGGGGGCAGAGAAATGGGAACAAGGGGGGGGGAAGGGGGCGGCGAGGAATGTATGGTGGCGCCAAAGTAGTACAGAGGTGCAAGGAAGGGAGGGGAACCTGTGGGGTACGAGAGTCGCAGACGCCCAGTAGTTGGACTATGTTTGGATGGTGAAGTTTGCTGGAGGAACTTTAGTGCATGGCTCCGACTCCTCTCCCTCTCCCTCCTCTCCGTCTCTTCCTCCCCTGTCTCTCCTTCTCCCGCTCCCTTCAGACCTGAGGATGTTCGCCTCGTCGAGAAACTCTTTGAGGTCTTGTAACGACCAGACATCAATCTGCTTGATGGCGCAAATAGTGCCGAGCCACGTTCCCTTGGAGCACGTTGAGAGGTGGAAGAGCAGGGAGATGAATAGGAGAACGAGGAGGAGTAGGGGGAGAGGAGGGGAGAGTAGGGGAGACGAGAAGGAGAAGAGAAGGAGAAGAGAAGGAGAAGAGAAGGAGAAGAGAAGGAGAAGAGAAGGAGAAGAGAAGGAGAAGAGGAGGACAAGCAAGGCATACATGAAAACAATAGAGTAGGGGAGACGAGAAGGAGAAGAGAAGGAGAAGAGAAGGAGAAGAGAAGGAGAAGAGAAGGAGAAGAGAAGGAGAAGAGAAGGAGAAGAGGAGGACAAGCAAGGCATACATGAAAACAATAACACAGGCAGAACAAAAAGTCGAAGTATAGGAAAGGAGGGATGGAGGGAGGGCGGGGCACCTTATACACACTGCCAAAGGCTCCTCGAGCCAATTTCTTGGTGAAGGTGACGTGCTCTCTCTGTAAAGAAAGCTAAGAGAGACGAGAAGAAGGAGGAGGAGGAGGAGGAGGAAAAGCAGCAGCAGCAGCAGCAGCAGCAGCAGCAGCAGCAGCAGCAGCAGCAGCAGCAGGATGAGGATGAGGAGCAGCAGCAGCAGCAGCAGCAGCAGCAGTAAGAGGAGCAGGAGCAGGAGCAGAAGCAGCAGCAGCAGCAGAAGCAGGAGCAGGAGCAGGAGCAGGAGCAGGAGCAGGAGCAGGAGCAGGGGCAGGAGCAGGAGCAGGAGCAGGAGCAGGAGATAGTGGAAAACGAGAGGCGAGAGAAAAAGGGCAGTCATCGAAGAGACAACGGTTCACCATGATAGTGAAATGCGAATCATCCAGACCGTCTCCCAGCAGGCCCCTCCTCATGTCAGAGCTGCACGCAAGGTGAGGAGTAACGGCAGCACTTGCTGCGACTTCACCTGCTCATGCCGTACCTGCCGACATACCGGGGGGGGAGAAACTTCCATGCAAGGAGCATGACGACGATAGTGAGGGCCATGCAGCCTGTAAGAGAAGGGTGAGGCTCGTGCGCGCACAGCGCAGACGAACTTGTAAGGATGAAGATGACGGCGAAGAGAGTCTTGGAGGAGGTTGTCACAAACTGCCGGTGCGTGAACTCCTGCTCGCCACCATCTTCCTCTTCCTCCCTCTCCTCCCCCTCCACTCTCACCTCAATCTCGAACTCGTTCGATATCTCCCCCAAGTCATTCTCGCCGATGAAGATTTGCAGCACCGCGTTCCCCTTCCCGTGAGGAAAAATCTGAACCAGACAGTCAGAGCCCCATCCCAACCAGAATATCGCCACCACTACCCCCTCCATCTACCCATCCACTACCCGTTCACTTTCCTAACATTGTTGCAGCACTTAGCACGTCTCTCTTCTGCCTGCGCTGCCCCCCTCCCCCACCCCCTTCTCTCCCTCCGGTGCTCTCTTGACGCACCTGCACCTCTACCGACAGGTACTTGGAGTTGTAGAGCTTCGGATTGGTGGGAACGCCTTGCTTGTGGCCGTCGATCATAACCTTGAACAGAGCTAGATAAGGAGGGACAACGCTGAGGAAATCTCAGCGCACTTGAATGAAGTTTGAGTCTCCTCCGAAGCTTTCTCCGATGATTGTGACTAGGCCGCCTTCGATGGCGAAATCCTTCCAGATAAAATCGGTAAGCATACACGCAGTAAATATGAGCAGAAGACAATGTCAGCATTAGCTCGAGAAAATGGAGATTAAAAAAGAAGAAGGAGGTGGTTGATGAGATTGCAGTGGAGGAGAAAGCGAGAAGAGAACGGAGGAGGAGCCATAAATAAATGAAATTTAGGAAGAAGAGGAGGGTGAGTACACTTCGATTCACCTTGGGGACTGTTGTCACAATCTTTGGAGCTCGATACGTGAAGTTTAACGGCCAGAGCTGAACGCTGCAGAGTAGGAGGGAACACCATCACAACATCTCTGCATCGGCCAACGTCCGGCAGACTATCTTACTTGGGCTCTAGTTTGCCGTCGATCGCAGGGTAGATCACACAATTCTCCTGCTTCCTCTTGCACGCCCTGCGGCAGCAATCTCACTTCGAAATCACCTTCCTGCCCTTCCCTCTCCTCCGCGTACTTATCCTTGAAGAACATCTTCAGCGGCTGCTGGCCGTAAAGAGGTGCGACCTGGCAGACGATGGAGTGGCAGCGATACCTTGTGAGCAACAGGTCAGCGTTGTCAGGCAGCACCATAGAGTATCACGACAACTTGGATCTGAAGAAGTGCCCGTCCCAACCACAATCCCTCACCAGGTCCTGCGTCACGTCACCGGCGACCAACCCCTTGGCGAGCTCCTCCCCCCGCACCTCCCCCGACGGTGCCGTGCACTGGCATGCATCAGCGTCCTGGTCCTCGAAGTTGCAGCCGGTGGCATCGGAGCCGAAGTAGACGTAGTACGTGACTTCCATCTCGCACTGGAGGAGCCAAGGAGGCGTCATTATCGCAGAAGGCGCCATGGGCTGCTCACCGTGTCGCAGGGAGGGTCGAAGACGCATCCTTTGGAGCAGTCGGACGGGAAGAAAGTCCCCGAGATGGTCACGATCTGCGTGCCTTGCTGCTGGTTGTTGTTGGGACCACTCGCAGGCACCAAGGTTACGTCTCCTGCACGGAGCCATCAGGGTGCGCGTTCCAACGTCGAGCACAGCACATGACCGCCTCTCACCGTCAGACGGGCATGGAGGTATCGGACAGATCACTTCAGGGATAGGTGTCGTCGTGGGGACAGGTGTCGTGGTGTTCTTCCCGATCGCACAGACCATGCAAGGGATCAGGAGCAAACTAAGGCAGAGGGCAGAGGCGGCTCCCTGCATGGTGAGACTTGATGAATCTGCTCTAGCGCTTGTTAAAGGTCGAGGGCATCTGAACCTGCTCGTGAGATGTCGTCCAACATGATGGCAGCGCGAGCATGTCAGGAGCTCTGCGAGGACGAGCTGAGTCAACTGGTGGCACTGGTGGACAAACAGCAAACAGCCTGCAGCACCCTTTCTAGCTCATTCAGCTCTACACAACTTCTAAGAGATATCTTTGCTATCCTGGTGTTAGATCTCAGCAATGGATACAGCAAGCTCTTGAAGTCAATCATGCAGTATCATAGCTCAATTCCGTAGACTTCCCACCTCTGGCTCGCTCACTGTATCTGCATCTTTCTCTGCCTATCCTACGTGACGTCCTCTCTCTGTCCCAATGGATCTCGTGTTATCCTCGCATCGTTTCTCTCCTCCTTACTACCTTCGTCTCTCTCCTCCTCTCCTCTCCTCTCTTGTCCTCTCCTCTCCTCTCCTCTCCTCTCCTCTCCTCTCCTCTCTTGTCCTCTCCTCTTCTCTCTTCTCCCCTCCCCTCTTGATCCTGGTCCCTGCATTGCGTACTACAACCCAGAGTACTACCCCCACCCTTTCCCTGACACCCCACCCCCTTTCACCGATCTTCAAATAGGGAATTTGGTATGGGAGACAGGGGTTCCAAGGGTATTTTAAGTACCCCCTACCCTAGTTCAGCAAGTCCTGTGGATAGGTCCTCATACAGCACAGCCTTTGTTGACCCTCATACCGCTCGACTGGACCTGAAGCATGCGCACGTGCGATATGGCGGAAATCCGAAATGCGAGGACGGGGGGAGGAGGAGCGGGGAAGGAGGGAGGGAGGGAGGGAGGGTTGACCAGAGGAGCAGTAAGGATGAGAGGGTTTCCTATGAATGCTGTAGAGCTTCAGGACTCAGACGGCACACGGTGCATGCAGCCTTGCCAGATCAGTCGAACCAGTGAACGATTCCTTGAGTGCCTGTGATTGCTGCATGTTGTGCAAGTTCTGAGTGTAGAGGATCATTTTTCACGACCATGATTTCTCTGTTCATGTGTGGATCCGGTCTCTTGACATGTTCTTGACTGTGTTGCTCCCGACCAGGCAGCACTTGGCCCATCACAAGATGGTTTCTACTCTAGCGTCGCAGCTGGCAGCTTTGCGGCAAGGGAGGGACCCTAAGGTTCGAGGAGCCTGAGGAGGAGATGTGGAGAGGAGCTGACACTTGCTGCAGGGAGACAACAGCCTCAAGCACAGGCCGTCCTTCCTCTTCACGTCGTCAGAGGCCGCAGACCTTGACGGGGACGCGATCCACAGCATCGGGCTGAGTGGGCTGGCAGAGCTGGAGAAGCAGGATCCCTCGCTCCACAAGTATGAGAAGCTTCTGTTCAACCGCTCCCCCTCCACCTTCCACCGAGAGAACCAGTCATACGACGCCATGAAGGTTAGGCTCCTGCCCCTGCCCCTGCCCCTGCTCCTGCTCCTGCCCCTGCCCCTTTTTCTCCTCCTCCTCCTCCTCCTCCTCCTCCTCCTCCTCCTCCTCCTCCTCCTCCTCAGCGCAGCGTCTCTTGTGACATCTGCCGCTCTCCAGTCAATCAACCAGTCAATCAAGAGCCTGTTGAAGGCTCTTGCTCCTTATTTCCTGCTCCGTCCCACTCACAAGATCCTCGAGTTTCTGATCCGATGCTACCAAGTCCACGAGCACAACCTTGACGATCTGCTGCTCTGCTGCCTTCCCTATCACACAACTCCGCAGTTCGTCCGCCTGGTCCAGCTGACTAACCCCAAGGACAAGTGGAGCTTTCTCAATGGCGTCAAGAAGACCGGCGCTCCTCTGTCAAGGACGGTGCTGGCGGGAGCTTGTATCTCGGACCTTGCTGTGCTCAAGTTCATCTGTGAAATGTGCAATGTAAGCATGCGGGGCGGCAGAGGACTAGGCGGATGAGATAGGGGATGGAGAAGAGGGGTGGAGAGATGGAGGCAAGGGGAAGGAAGAGAAGGTCAAGAGGGGAGTTTTGCAAAGTCTAGGAAGCAAGGGGCAATCCTTTGTGCAAGAGAGGAGGAGAGGCTGGTGACAGGGATCTGAATCTTTGATACAGGAGCCAACCACCAGTCGAGTCGTCCTGACTCTCTTCGTGAGCACAGCAGTGGAGGTCTTGACGACGATGAAGAAAGTGACGGAGGAAGTCTCCCTTGCCATCCTCCCGACCATCCTCGAGGGCATTCGCACCCCCAAGGTCTCTGACTTCCAGTCAGCCGCGTACATGGTGCTCGCCGCGCTCGTAAAGAGGGCGGAGCTGTCGGAGGAGGTGATCCGGAGTCTGCTGGAGATCATTCCCAAGTACGCCAACCGGCAGAACCCGACGGACTGCCTCCTGATTGTTGTCATCATCTGCAACTTCCAGCGGCCGAGCAGGCTCGAGCCCCAGGGGGTCTCGTCGGTCCTGCACATCCAGCCCGTCGTCGGGATTCTCAAGGAGCTCGGGGACAAGGTAGACCTCTCTGGCTTCCTGGGTATCTTCATCAGGGGGCTGGTAAGGGACGTGAAGGAGAACAGCCGGGCCCTTCAGGTGCTGCAGGAGCTTCTGACTAGCCTCCCGCTGTCCTCGGAGATCGTCATGCAGGCAGCCATCGCAGTCACTCGGGGAGCCTGTGACATGTACAGGCACGCCAAGAACGGGAAGATGTCGGTGGAGGAGAACGACGTGGTGAAGAAGATGAGCGACGTTCTCAGCTCGCTGGCCCTCCGCTACCCCAACGAGATCGACGAGTTTGTGAACAAGATTCTGAGGAGCTATGGAGTGAAGCCGGTGGAGGAGGGCAGGGATGAGCCGTCCAAGAAGAAGTCAGGCGGAGACAAGAAGGGTGAGGGTGATGGCAAGAAGGGCAACCAGTCAAAACAGGCGCAAAAAGGAAAGAAGAAGGACGAGGACGAGGACGAGGACGAGGACGAGGACGAGGACGAGGATGAGGACGAGGATGAGGACGAGGACGAAGATGGGGGCGAGCATGACGACGAGGAGAGGGAGTGGCTAACCTCGTTCCTGTCGCACACCTTCCAGGGCACAAGGCACATCCCCATCCTAGAGGGAGGGACGACCCTGCTTCTTGCTCTAGAGCACCCCAACGCCTCCATCCGCAGAGCCGCCCTCCTCAAGGCGTTTCAGAGCACCTCGAGTCAACCTCTGGAGCCCTTCCTAGCCGACGCCCTCCTGCGCAGACTGCAGGACGAGGACCCGTCTGTCGTCCTCTGCGCGCTGTCGTGGGACAAACTCGTGGCGAAGCTGCCAGCAGAGAGCCTGCTGGAAGGTCTCAGCAGCCTCGTGTTGGAGGGAAGGGGAGGGAAGGTTGGGAAGAAGACGCAGGTCTCCGAGAGTCAGGGGCAGGCGCTGACCATCCTGTGCTCGTCCTTCCTCGAGGCACATCCGGAGTTCGAGGACAAGGCCATGACGGTCCTTCTAGGAAAGTTTTTGATGTTCCCCAGCACACGGAGGACGAGCGGGCTGGTGCTGAAGCTCATGGTGGGGTCGAAGCATTTGCTGTTCGAGGGGCTGGTGGAGATGAAGGAGGAGGTGAAGGAAGGCAGCAAGACTGAGCTGTCGGGGGAGGGAGCGTGGGAGCTGAACGTGAAGGTGCTGATGAGGATAGCACGGAACATGGTCAGGATGAACGAGGAGGAGATGGAGAAGATGGTCGGACTTGTCAGGGGCTGCAAGTGCCTGGCAAGCAAGTTCCTCCTCCTCCTCTTCTGCATGAAGCAGTGCAAGGAGGACAGGATGCTGGTGCTGGCGTCAGCGGTGAAGGAGGAGCTCATCAAGTTCGAGAGGAGCGCAGGCGGAGTGAAGAAGAAGAAGAAGTGGAACGACCCTGAGGTCCTTGCCAACCTCTCCGCTCACCACCTTGCAAAGCTCTTCTCCTCGGAGGAGGACAACGATAGCCTCTCCTCCCTCAGGGTCGTCAGCTCGGCGACCTGGTTTGTGATGGCAAAGAAGCTTCAAGGGTGCAAAGTAGACGCTGTGGACAAGGGGGAAGGAGGAGCGGCAACGGAGCTGCTGGCGCTGGTTAAGAGCATGTTCAAGTTCTTCTGCGACCGCAGGGACATCAGGCCGTTCAAACTTCACGTGCAGGAACTGGTGGGAGGCTGGAGATTAGAGTTCTCCCTCTCCTTCCTATCCTCCTTCGTCGTCGACAAGCGCTCCTGCTCGCCCTCCTGCAGGGCCCACTGCCTGTACATGCTCACGTCCCTCGTCAGGACGGGAGGCGCCCAAGTCTCCCTTGCTGCCCAGCACCTCTTCCCCGTCCTCCTCGCCCTCAAGGATCAGAGTCAGCTCGTGCGGCACGCGGCCATCACCTCCTTGAAGGTCGTGGCGGGGCTCGCGCACGACAAGAAGAAGTCTCCTCCTCCCATCGTCTACGGCAAGCTTGATGTTTCCGTCTTCCTGGCCTTTGTCTCCTTCCTCGCCGATCAGAGTCAGGACCTGTTCCACGGCGAGCAGCACCTGTCGTCTCTGCTGTCAGGGCTGCTGAGGCTAGAGGAGCAGGAGGACAAGGAGGAGACGGGCAAGAGATCGCGGAGCTTCTCGGAGAGCAACAGGAAGCAGGTGCAGGCATACCTGCTTGAGCTCGTGTTTGCGCAGGAGGAGGAGGACAGGAAGGTGGAGATGATGGAGCTGCTCCTTCCCTTTGTCTCTTCCATGGTCTCCCTGCCAATCACCCACTCCCGCCTGCAGGACTGCGTGAAAGCTCTAGAGGCCTCATCCTCATCCTCCTCCGCCTCCGCCTCCTTCTCGCCATCCTACATCAGCAGCCTCGTCCGCCTCCACCTCTCTTGCAGGATCGCGTCTGCGGTCTCCAGCTCGAGCAAGGAGGAGGTGAACAAGATCTGCTCCACCATCCTCGCGCCTCTCCGAGCTGCAGCCAAGCTCCGTCAGAGGAAGGGAGCAGCTAGTCAGGACGCTCTGCTCTCCTCGATCCTCCGTTACTTCCCAGCTGATCTCTACAGTCTCCTGCCCGGAAGCATGCAGGAGAGCATGCTGACAGATCTCTGCACTCTAGTTGCCTCTGCTCCTCCTGACATGGCAGGGCTCGCCAAGACTCAGCTCTTCTCACTTCCCCTCCTTGCTCAGCACGTGACGAAGCTGCTGTCCTCCTTGCTCGAGCGAGCCAGGGGCACGCAGACTCCGTCCTCGGAGCAGAAGGCGAGGAAGCAGAAGACGGAAGCAGGAGCAACAGGAGGAGCGGACAAGCTCGCGGAGCTGAAGAGGGACGCGTCGGTAGTGACGGACGTGATGCAGTACCACGAGGATCCGACTCGGTTCCTCTCCCTCCTCCCTCAGCTGTTTGAGATGCTCGACGTGATCACGTCGGAGGACGGAGGAGCTTCTTTCAGCGCGGACGGGGACGAGTCTCTGGACCAGAGCCTCCTTTCCTGCATTCTTGTACTTCTTCAGGCTCACCTGGGCAAGAAGCCAGAGGAGGAGGAGGAAGGGAAGAAGAAGAAGAAGCGAAAGGAGGAGCAGAGCAAGGGCGAGGAGGGGCTGGGAGCGGCGATCGAGCAGGGGATCAGGATGGAAGCGATCGTGCGGTGCCTTAGGAGGGCGCAGGCCCCGCAGACGCGGCACGACGCGCTGCTGCTCCTGCAGGCTCTGACGGCGGCGCATCCTCGCCAGGTCCTCAAGCATGTCATGACGATCTTCTCCTTCCTCGGGGAGACCGGTCTCGTGCACGACGACCACTACTCCTTCCTCGTCATTGAGCAGACGCTCAAGAGCATCGTCCCCCCTCTCATCGCCTGCGGCATGCAGGAGGAGGAGCTGCTTCAGGTGTTCGTCCAGTCCCTCCTGCTCATCCCCGCACACAGGAGGATGCGGCTGTACACCACCCTCCTCATGCTCCTCCCCTCCAGGAACGTCCTGGAGACCTTCCTCCTCCTCCTCCTCTCCGCCAAGTTTGCCCGGCCCGCGAAGAAGGGGAAGGGAGGGGAGGAAGACATGGTCGCCTTCGGCGTCTCGGTCTGCGCGCAATTCCCGCTGGACTTTCAGCTGGACAACTACAACAGCCTGCTGGAGAGCATGAGGAAGATGCCGCAAAGAGAGGCAGAGCTCAAGAAGAGCAGGTCCTCCTCCTCCTCCTCCTCTATGAAGGAGCTTCGGGTCCTCCAGTCCCTCCTGATCCAAGTCATCATCCGCCTCCTTAGCAGCCGCTCGTTCGCCGTGCAGGTCCAGACGCTGCCGGCCGCTGACGAGGAGCTCTTCCAAGGGCAGCTCCTGCTCCTCTTTGAACAGCTCATCCTCCTCCAGCGCATGGCGCACGACTGGGAGGAAGAGGAGGACAGCTCGAGGGCCAAGGAGGACGTGAAGGAGAGAATGGATGAGGCCCTGCAAGTCGTCAGTTCCCACCTCTCTGTGAGCGGCTTCGTGCGGAGCATCTCCTCTCTCCTCGAGAAGAAGGACGAGCAGGTCAGGCAGCGAGCGCTTTCGTACCTCAGCCACAAGCTCGAGCTCCTCGACTCTGACCTCCCCCCCGCACAGAGGAGCCTCCTCCTCGACCTAGTCCCCTCCCTCAGTGGGTATCTCCAGGGCAAGTCGGAGGGGTCCGTCCAGCTCTCCGTCTGCTGCCTTGAGCAGCTGGCCCGGCTGTTCGCCAGCAGCCAGCCCAAGGGTTGGCTCGAGTGCATGCCGCAGGTGGTGGCCTGTCTCTCCTCCTCTTCCTCCCTCGTCGTCTCCTCCACCTGCTCCTGCATCGCCACCATGGCCATCCAGCTCGGCGCCGCTGCCCTTCCCAACATCAACAAGGTGGTCCCGAGGATGCTGGACCTGGTGCAGGAGAGAGTGAAGAGCGTCGCGGCCCTGGAGGAGGAGGAGGCGATCCTGTGTCAGAGCGCTGTGCTGTCAGTGGAGAAGATCATGTCGCACCTGCCGCACCTCATGTCTCCCTTCGTTGACAAGTTCCTCTCCTGCCTCCTCCACCCGTCGCTCGTCGACCCCCAGGCTCACTCGGCTCTGTTCCTCGCTGCCAAGCAGGCGCGTCAGCGACTGGTGAGCTCTTCCTCTCCTCAGTCACCTGCTTCCCTCCTGTACTCAAGGGATCGGTTCCTCCCCTCACCCTCTTTGATCCGCTTCTCCCTTCCTCGTTCCTCGCTCCATTCCTCTCCCCTCCCGCTCGTCTCCTTCTCTACCACTCTGATGCTTCTCTTCTTCTATCCACGTTTTCAAATCCCTGTAACTCGATCTCTCTCTCTCTCCTCTACTGCTTATCCTTCCCCTCACTCCCTCACTCTCTCACTCTCTCACTCCCTTTCTTCGCATTTTGACTTTCCTTTTACAGCCGGAGATCATCGCATCGAGGATCCTCATCCCGAAGCTTTGCAAGCAGCGTGAGGAGCTAGCTGAGATGTCAAGGCACAGCCTGCATGCTCTCTTCGCCATGCTCGAGCAGCTCTGCAAGTCCCTCAGCCAGCAGGACGTGGCCGCAAGTTTCCCCCGCATCTTCAAGTTCTTTCTCGACTCCCTCGACCTTCGCTTCCTCGCGCTAGCGGGCAAGACGAGCATCGCAGGGGAGGAGGTTGTGGAGGTTGAAGGCGCCATGCTCGTGGCCCTGGAGGCGCTGGTGCTGAAGCTGAACGAGTCTCGGTTCAAGCCCTCGTTCCTCAAGCTCTACGACTGGGCGACAGTCCTCGAGGAGAAGGAGGCGGAGGGGAGGAGCAGCAAGGAGGCTGAGCTTCACTCCCTGCAGAGGATGAGCAGGCTGGTGACCCTGAGCAGAGTTGTCAACACGTTGGGGGAGCGGCTCAAGGCAATCATGGTCCCCTACTTCTCCTACCTCCTCCAGCTCTTCCTCTCCATCCTCTCCGACAGGGCCACCATCTTCAAGCCTCTCTCCCAGCCTCCCCCCTCCTCCAAGAAGAGGAAGAGGGACAAGGATGGGGATCAGGACATCGCAAAGCAGGTGCTGATTCCTCCACCTCCCCATCGTCCCCCTCCCGCTCCCGCCCCTCGTCTGCCCTCCCCCCCCCCCTTCCTGCTTCCTCTGACTTGCTGGCAGCTGGCCGACGAGTGCACGGACTGGGTTGTCCAGGCCCTGCACAAGTGCTTCCTCTACGACACCATCGCCTTCACCAACAAGGAACGCTTCGAGGCACTTCACCCGCCCCTCGTTGCCCTCCTCGACGACCTCTCGTGTGGCAAGGAGCGCTACCAGACTCGCATCGACCTCTATCTCAAGCCAGCTGTCATCCAGCTCGCCGTTGCCGTGCAGGCAGGGACGGGAAGCGACCTGCTCTGGAAGCCTCTCAACCATCAGCTTCTCCTCCGCACTCGCAACGACTCTGCCATGGTCCGCTTCGCCGCCCTCCAGGTGGTCACAGGAGTCGTTCAGCGTCTCGGGGAGGAGTACCTGTCGCTCGTGCCCGAGATGCTCCCCTTCATCGTCGAGGTGCTCGAGGACATGGACGAGCAAGTCGAGACCTGCGGGCGGCAGCTGGTTGCGCTGCTGGAGACTCACCTTGGGGAGAGTCTCAACGAGTATTTGCGAGCTTAACCTGTATCTTACTGTTCCATACATCTACATCCTCCTCTCCTCCTGCCTCCTCCTCGCATTCTACGCTTCCCCGCATGCTCTACTCGTCGATCTCAGTCTGGCTGGTACTGTTTCACTCCCCTCCTTTTGCCTTCTGTACAAAAGCGTCAGATCAAGAAGTTGGAGCGACAGCGATGGAGAGGAAGGAAGGAAAAGGTGGAGGAGGGGGTGAGAGCAAGAGAGACGCAGGAGGAGGGGAGGAAGAAAACGAGAGCTACCGAAACAATGATCAAGGATAAGAAGAAAGATAGCGAGCGGGAGGGAGCACCAGGAAGAAAGGACTGAGGACAGAGTCTTCTGGGTTCAATAGAATATCCACCTGGATCATCTGATCGATGGAACTTCCGATGGTGACGATGATGGTGGCAAGGAGCCCGACAGTAGACACGAAGGAGATCCTTGCGGCTCTGCAAAGAGACAGTAAGAAGCCTCCCTCCCTCCCTCCCTCCCTCCCTCCCTCCCTCCCTTCTTTCCTTCCTTCGCAAGCAAGCAAGCATGAAGGTACTTGCCTGCGGATAGGGTTGTCGATAGCAAGATCGTTCTCAAAATGTTTGACAGCAAGAGGATACTGTACATTTCTGAGCATCGCCGTTGCCTGCAACGCAAAATTGAACAATTCAGCGAGAATGCTCAGGGAGGAGGGAGGAGGGAGTCGACAAAATCATCGCTATTCAAGGATTGAAGTATCATGACACATCAACTGGAAGTTAAGCGAGCGGAGGAGGAAGCGTCCAAGGAGGACAAGATAAGGAACAGCATGTGCCGCTACCCTACAGACGGCTCACCTTTTCCCAGCTAAACCGCTCAGCAAAGCTCCGGCCTTGCCTTCCCATTCGCTGCAGACGCTGCTTGTCTGCCTTCAGCTGAAGCACATGTCAGAAACCCTTTTTGGGGCGCACTGTCTCTCCCCTCCATACTCCCTACTCCTCCTTCCACGACTATGGCACAACAACAACACCGCCTCCGCTTCCTCTTCCTCCTTCCACTACCTCCACCACTTCCTCTTCTCACCATCTGGATGTGTTGGCTGATGAGGTCTGAGTCCCCAGGGGGCACCAGGAAGCCCGTCTCTCCTTCAGTGATGAGGTCGGGGATTCCTCCAGCCTTGGCTCCGATCACAGGCACCCCCGACGCCATGCTCTCCAGCACGACGAACCCGAGGGTCTCGCTGTCACTCGGCATGCAGAAAACATCCGCTGAGGCGAAGGCTCTCCACAACTTCTCTCCTCGCAGCACGCCAGTGAAGACGGTCTTGGTACCCTCAAAGAGCTGCTTCAGGTCCTTCTCGTAGGGCCCCGTGCCCACAATCGCCAGACGAACATCCGGGTTGGCGTCGAGCACGGCCCGAAGGTCCTGGATCCTCTTCTCCTTGCCCAGCCGGCCGACGTAAAGGAGGAGCATTTCGTCAGGGTTGCCGTCGGTCAGCATCCTCCTGGTCTCCTCGTTCCTCCACTTAGGGTTGAAGCTCTCCGTGTCTATCCCCTTCCTCCAGACCTCCACTCGCTCGATCCCGTGCTCGAGGAACTCCTCCTTCAGCTGAGGGCTGGTGACCAGCGTCAAGTCTGCCTGGTTGTGGATGAGCTTGATAGTGAGCCAGGAGATGTCGACGATGAAGGGGACGAAGCCGAGATAGTTGGCCGCGTACACGGGCAGGTGCGTGTGGTATGAGAGCACGAGGGGGATCTGGAACCATCTGGCATAGATGGAGGACATGAGGCAGATGAACCCAGGAGTTGTGACGTGCAGGACCTCGGGCTTGAACCTCTCAATCATCTTCATCCCCACGAGGTTCTGATCGAGGGAGAGGCAGATGAGGTTGTACAAGGAGAAACGGAAGCCCGGGGTGTAGGTGATGGGATAGCCCAGGAAACTCTCCGGAGGGTCCTGGGAGTCGTCGGGAGTTACGATCTCGATCTGATCCTCCGCTTTCTGCATGTACCGCAGCATCTCCTGGTACCTGTTCGAGTACCCACTGACATGCGTGAAGGGAGTCGGCTCAACGATGAGGCCGATGCGCCATGGCTCCCTGGTTCGCAGATCCGGGATCTCCACGTCCTCCTCCGTAGCAGGGGCAGATACAGTCTGGGCAACAGCAACAGCTTCTGACTCGCCTGCTCGTGTCATGGAGAGAGAAAGCAGGCTTGTACCCTTGCAGGCACCAGCGTCTTGCGTTTGCCATCGTGAGCATGTCTCGGATCTGGGCGATGCCAGCCGGTTGAAGAGGCGGGCAGGGCTGAGACCGAAGGTCGAGACATAATCTACACCGAAGCATGCGATGAGGAGCAGAAGAATCGAAGATCTCGTCATCCCTGTGTATACTGCTTGACAAGATCAGAACGATGTTTGCATAACAAGTTTGGTCTGCAGGAGAAGAGTCAGATAATTACAATCAGGTAGATCAGAACGGCACTATGCATTGGTGTCTGCTTTGCTACGAGTCTTCAACCTACGTCTGCCCTCTACTTGAGCATAGAGCTTACAGTATCACCTGCATTACCAACTACTCGATCTTTGTCATGGTCTCTGACACCCTCCCCTCTCTGAATTCTTGTCCTCCTCTCCCGCTGTCATCGTCGACGTCAATCTCCTCGCCAAATTTCCTGTCCTACAGGCTGTGCATCCCGTCGTTACACCTCCTCCCTTCTCCGTCCCTTCATCCTAGTCGCAGCATCTTCATCGTCTTCGTCACTGCCAACTTCATCATGCTGATTCTTCTCCTCTTCTCATCCCTCTGTCATGAACAACCTCGCTTCCCGCCATCACATGCAAGGGCTCCCGCAGACTACGCCTGTTGGGTACCCCCTCGTACTCATCCATCCTAGACCCCTACCCCCCTAAATGACTAAGAAATGATATCAAATAACCCCATCATTTTCCTTTTACTACCCCTACCCCCAAGAAGACTCTTGACCCTGCAAAGCACAGGACTGACAGAGCACGGGACGGCCTCGCATTACGGTCTCCCATCTATGGTGGTTACCAGAATGGTCCCCCGGAACTCGCGGTTACTTCCCATCGCCCACAAAATTTAGACCAAATTTCGGTCGAACAATGCAGGAAGCAATGCTCAAGGCGGTGGTCGGAGTCGGAAGTTTCATGGCACTGGCCATGGCGCACAGGAGGGAGGCTGCGGCAAAGACTGTCGGCAACGATCTCTCGTCAGTGTCCTACGAGGTTGTACCTCCTGCTTGCTCTGTACTTCCACTGTGACACTAATGCGCCCCCCGCAAACGCCTGTCCTCCACCTTGCCAGCTGCTGACTCGACCTATCTTCTGAACATGGAGGAGAATGGTTGGGGATAGCATGCATGCTTGAGCTAGCAATGTCCGTGTGCTAAGAGCTATCGTGCGCGCCGAGGACGGGGCGATGTCTCAGTCGAGAGCAGATGCGCCTCTTTGCTCGCGCTTCCTTGTACTTTGCTGCCCGTGATATGGTATCGACGTCTTTCCATCTCAAAATGTTCATGTGTGCTGTGTCACATCAATGACAGTCAGTCCTCCTCTCCCTGCTCTCGCATGACACCTTCGCGCAGGTGGAAGCGAAGCATATTGAATTCTTGAACGCCATGATCAAGAAGTTCAGCATCAAGGATCTGGACAAAGCGGTGAGGATTGCTGTGCAGTTCGCCATATCAGACGGCAATGCCGATGCACTCTTCGTCAAGAAACGATGCAACACGTGCGGCGGCAAGAAGAACAAGAACAAGGTCACGGTGAAGCTCTACAAGCACCAGGTTGAGTTTCTGGAACAAACTCAGAAGAAGTTCAACATCAAGTCAGTGGATGTGAGGGCCAACTGTTCGCATCTAGTTTACATGTAACGCTGACCTCCCTCACCCCAGAAAACTCTCCGCTGCATCCTGGAGTACGCGGAGACCGACGGGGACAAGGACTTCATCTTCAACAAGACCCGCTGCAAGATGTGCGGGTGATCTCAGGACCCCCGCCGGTCATGCCGGGCTGAGGAAGTTGCGGATGTCCTTGCAGCCTATGGAGGAGGAGGACGCCCTTGCGATCTTGCGCCTCTTGTGTAGAGAGTTGGTCTCTGACTGGTGGCAGCGAGTGCACAGCGTGCGGAACCCCGAAATATCGATCATTCCTCCTCCCTCGCACACCGGCCTGATGTGATCCGCCTGTCCGCGGAGTCAGATTCTGAGACAGCGCACGCTCCCCTGTGTTGGTCTTGCCTGCCAGAAATCGCCCTCGGTCGGGTGCGTTAGGATGGCCTCCGAGCGGCCCTTGATGGGAATGCCGCTTTCCATGAGGGCGGAGAGGCGCTCTGGTCCCTGGGGAGGAAGAGTGAGGCGTTGGAGGAGAGGGCACAGAAGGACTGGATGGTAGAAGGATCAGGGGGAGGAGATGGAAGGGGAAGAAAGAGAGGAGGAGGGCGGGGGGTGGGCAGAGGAAGATGAGGGGAGTAGACTCTTGTGTCTTGAACCTTGGGAAGGCATTTGATGCGCTTGAAGAGACTGTGCGCATCCATGCCGCACAGCTGACAGACGCCCTTCTCCAGCTCGTAAAGCTGCTGGGAGGGTGAGACGTTTGCGGCAGCACGAGATCTTGGTAGACCTGCCGCCTGACAGATGCAGAGGAGGCGCAAGTAGCGTATTCCTCGCTGCACTTGTGCGAGCAGAAGTTGGCTCGAAACCTCTCCATCCTCTGCTCGCTCTGCTCCAGGCGCTTGCCGCACCAGCTGCAGAGGTCAGGGCTGCAGAAGGGAAGCTCGGAGGAGTGACGCTGAGTAGTCGGGTGTTGGGCTCCTTCCCTTCGATTCGCCACGTTTCCTGGTCGACGTCAGATCGAGCAGCCCCGACAAACCCCCGCGTGCTGCCGACCTGACTTGAGGAGCGCGGCGGTGAGAGAAGAGACGAGGGTGTCTGACAGCTGCTTCTTCTCCACTGCCCGAAGCTTCTTCCATCTGTCGTGGAACTCTCTCACGCAGCGCAAAGCGGCAGGATCAGCCGTCAGGAACGCAGGAAGGAGAGTTCCAGTAGAGTCTTCCAGCTCGGACGGATGCACGCTGCCCATGAGAAGTTTGCCTTCCATGTCCTCGTAGACGTACAAACGCTGCGTGTTCCCTGATACTTGAAAGCAAAGCTTTCGTAGCTTTCAGATTTTGATGGTGCATGGAGTGAGAAGACGGGTACCTTTCGTTTGGGCCCGGCTGCTTCCAAAGTACATTGCGCCTGAGACGATTCCACCATATCAACTGCAGCAATTTCCTATCATAAATGAGTTCAATCAAAGTTGCAGGTTTTCATGACAGGCAATCTCAGACCTCATCGTCATCGAGATGGATCCTCACTAGTACCAACTCAACGTCATGCCCAACACAAACGAGTTCTACTATTACCAGAGACTGGTGTAGAGTTTTCCTCGGCATCGCAAAGATCGATCACATCACCGGTCGATTTAGACTCTAACACTGACTCCTTGGGCTTTCTCGGCCTCCCGCACCTCGGATCGAAGAAAGAACGAATGTCTGGTTTCCCAGGAGTGACAGCAAGTTCATTGAAGACTTCGTCGTCGTCCGGTAGGGTGAACGAGAGTTCGCTGCTGTCCCGGCGGCCTCCGGCAACCCTCTCCGCCTCCAGTCTCTGCTTCTTCCCATTCAGCGTGTGGCTCACCACCGACAGCTTGCGAGTCAACAGCCGCCAGATGCATTCGTCAAGCGTTTGTCGCGCTACAAGGTAGTGCACATTGACAGAGGCGGTCTGCCCGATGCGATGAGCTCGGTCCTCTGCCTGCACCATCACGCCAGGCGTCACATGCAGTTCGGCGAACACAACTGCCGAGGCTGCTGTCAACGTCAGCCCCTGACCCGCTGCCTGCAGACCCAAAACCTGAACCACCTTGCGTCACAATGCATACTGCTGGACATACTTGTTGAGGTACCGCCACACGCACATCAGAACGGGTCTGAAATTTCTTGACAAGGTCTGGTCTATCGCTAGCGGAAACACCCCCGTCTATCCTGATGTATCCCACCTGTACGCTCGTCACTCTCCTACACATTTGTTAATCTCATTGCTTCGTGCCTTTGCTCTGCAGAGCTCCTTTTCCAAAGTGTCCAGTACCGCCAAGTAGTGAGCAAAGATCAGTAACTTCGCTCCTCCCTCCACCAAGTCCATCATGTACTGTGCTGCTAATTCTGCCTTCGCCAAAGCGGTCTGGAATAGAAGAAGATGATTAGTCGGAAGTGTGCTGAAGCAAACAAGAATGTACCTGTTTGGTCAGTTCACCCCAGACCACGTTACGCTCGAAACCGTCGAGTCCGCCCATCTTGTTCATGTTTTCTCTGATAGACTTCAAAGAGTTCTGATCTAGCTCAAGCTGAACACCCCAGTAAGGACGATGAGAGGTCAGTCTAGTAAAGTTCAAAGACCGGGATGTGCTGTCGACGTTTCGCTGGCAGTTCACTCATCACGTCATTCTTGAGCCGTCGGATCATGATCGACTGCAACTACAGATGTGTCACGCTATGACATTCGGCTCCATTTCCTCACCTTGTCATGCAGCTCCTCTATGTGTGTCGCTCCTCTACATTCCCAGCCGAATCGACCTCGACGCCCGTCACAATACCTAGTGGTGTACTCCGTCCAGGATCCAAAGGTCTTGTCAGCGATCATGGTGATCTGTGAGAACAGCTCTGCAGGGCGATTCAAGGCAGGCGTCCCAGAGAGCAGGACGCATCTGCGCGCTTGTTTGGCCAACCTCATCACAGCTTTTGTCCGCTTCGTGTCTTTGTTCTTGCAGTAATGACTCTCGTCCACTATGATGGTGCGAAACCCGCAGCCGATCAGACTTGTCTGGAGGAAATCGCTCCGGGACAAGAGGTCGTAAGTAACGATCACCATCTTTGCCGTCTTCAAGTTGTCCACGTCCGTACTTGATCTCACTACTTTGATGTCTCCAGGACGCAAATCAGTCAGCCACTTTTCCAGCTCCTCGGCCCAAACCCATCTCATCGAGGCCGGCATGAGGCAGACCACAGGCCAGTCCTGGGAGAACACGCAAGCTATGGCTATTGCCTGCAACGTCTTGCCCAGCCCCATCTCATCTGCAATCAGCACCCTTCCTCCATGCGATATCCCAAACTTGACTCCCTCCTTCTGGAACGGCATAAGTGCCGATTCTATGTTCCCTGGGATCAGCTTGTAGAGATCCTCCGCCTCCTCCCCTCGCGTTCCGTGTCGTTCAGCTCCCTCGCAGCTAGCATGTACACTCTTCACGCTGCGATTGCTGCTACTCCTGCAACTGTGTCCGGTATGATCGGCATCATTCCTACGCTCCTCTACCTCGCTCGTGCGATGCCGGTTACTGGACCTTGACGGATGTACCCGTTTCGCTCCTTGTTGAGCATGCTGACAGTCCACTCCATCTACGTGGATGGCTTCTGCTGCCGAGCTACAAGGAGCTGACGTGGAGCAAGCTCTCTGCATACCCGGAGATAACCTGTCTTCTCTCCCGTGCTCCTGTGCCTTTCCTTCCCAAATCTCGATTCCGGATGCGATGATCTCATCCGAACCATGACTGTGTTGACCATGATGACGATGACGCCGATGTCGCATCTCCTTCTCATCAGCGTTGATGATTTTATCTTGCTCCTCCTCCTCCTCCTCCTCCTCCTCCTCCTCCTCCTCCTCCTCCATGAGATCGAAGCTCTGCAGGAGGGAACGCGAGCCCAAAGAGGTTCCCGCCATTCTGCCCGCCATTTCGCCAGTCGCCGGGGCGCCCGGGGTCCCCGCCGGCGCGCCGGGCCCCGTGCCGACAGCCGTGACTGCTAGCAGAGGCCCGGGTGACTCGCCGCGCCGTCGGAACCTGAACCGTTCAACGCCGGGCGTACGGCGGCGGCACGGTTTTCAAGTATCCGAGTACGAGGACAATAACAGTACCGGGCCCGACTCCCTCTCATGCCCGAATCAAATGAACTGTTGATGTTTGCTAAGTTCCTTCTGAGTAAGAAAACAGCTCAGCTGGCAAAAGGAAAATCAATCATCGGCGATCAAACGGAACTTAGCTTCAAAAGTTTCATTCAAGTTCAAAGGCTTCAAATCAATTGCAGGCAGGATTCAAGGCTCGAAGTTAGGCCGCGCAGTTGCTAAGGCTACCGCAACACTGCCGCTGCGAGTCTATTCGGATACTCTATAGTAATCTGACACAGACTGCCCACATCCGAGGCTCCGCATTACTATATTTTGTTGTCCGACGCCGCCGTAGCCACGGCTGGCTTTGCCATAAGCAACACTGCGCACCAAACCGCCACAGCCCAGCACAAGGCTGCAAACACTGTGATGGCGATCTTGAAACACGGAGACGTCAGGCGGGGTCATCGCGCGGAAACACGAGAGGCTACCTGGGTCTGCAGGTGGATATTCTCCTTCAACATGTCATAGCCTTGCTCGTAGCCCAGCATGTCGCTGTCGTATCGGAGCTTCCACTGCAGCACATGTCACGCGTCCGATCCCTTGCACGCTTCTCCTATCCACGACCTTCCCGTTGACACAAACGCGCGGCTTGCCCGACCCAGAGTAGGTGTCGCCGTGGAGACAACTGGGAGTGAATCAAGGTCATGCGGCTGTCTGAGGCCACAAGCTTCCCACACTCACTCGTAGCACTTGTTGTTCACACAGTGACCTTGCCAGTCGATCACGCTCGTGTAGAAGCTGAACCTGGAGGCATCACAGCTTCAATGGCCGACCAACGGCTCCAGGCAGGTCGTCACCCGCCGCCACTGAGTGTACCCGACTCCATGCACTTCTGCTGTATAGTCAAGTCCTTGCTGACGGACTCCTGCGGAAAGCCGACAGGTCCAACAGTCAGAAAGCAGAGCACGCGGCGGGTCAGTCAGAGGCTACCGGGAGGCAGATGGACGCGGCCTGGTAGAATTGGGGGATCGCCGTCTTCTCCTTGCTGCAAGTCCCGGTACTGGGCGTTGGGGTTACAGGAGAGGACAGGCTTGCTCGCAGCTGCTAGATGGCCCACTCACCCGTCATTGATGCAACTGATTTCCTGGCTCGTCTGAAAGGCGTTGGGGATAAACTTCCCACAGAAGCGATTCTTGTTTCTCTCATGGATCATCCTGGTTTCGTAGTAGCCGGTTGGGTAGTAGTAACCATTCCAGTAGTAACCACTATAGACGTAGTAACTGTTGTTGTAAATCTTGTTCCTGGAAGCATCAAAACGAAGTCAGCCTAGCGGTATCAAAAGCCAAGACAAGTGTATACTCGTAGACATTCGAGACAAGGTCTTGGCTGATCTCGTCAATCGTATTGCACAAGTCATCATGTCCGTCCGGCAGCTCTCTCTTCTTGCAGATGCTTCTGATTTTCAAGTCCTTGTAGACGCCATAGTACTGCTTCACTTTCGCTTGATCAGCCGCGATGTACTTGCCCAAGTTTTCGAAAGCGCCTGAAATCTGGGACAGGGAAAGGTCTTGCGCACAATACTGATCCAGATCGCAGTCGAAGTCAGTTGTGCATTGCACACACACACCGACAAAGGTGTAGGGCTCTTTGGTGTCTGCAGATTGAGTCAACCCCGTGTCGTTCCAGAGGGGCAGACAAATGGGGTAACTCTTGTCACTGCAATCAGCCTGCACATGGCACTGGGAGTACGAGGGAGCTGACGCGCTGGCAGGGGCTGCAGGGGCGGCGAGGAGAAGGAGAAGGAGGAGGGAGGGGGAAGTCGACAGGAGCTTGCTGTTCATGTTGTATGCGCTGCGCTCGCTTGCGTTAGCTAGGAGTCACTGACAGCTTGAAATAGCGTCACGTTACGCCTCCTGGCTCTGACCCACAAGAGTCATGACAAAGTTCACCATCCACCCACCCCATGAAGTTGCCTCCAGGATGCCAGAGTAGGACCGGGTCCTAGAACCCTTGACCGCCCGTATGCCTTG